GCCTTAGGACCCCATAATTAAATGCTCACAGATCAATAAATTCTAATTTTTATTATTATTTTTTTTATTATCACACTGGCCGATTCCCACCAAGGCAGGGTGGCCCGAAAAAGAAAAACTTTCACCATCATTCGCTCCATCACTGTCTTGCCAGAAGGGTGTTTTACACTACACATTTTAAACTGCAGTATTAACACCCCTCCTTCAGAGTGCAGGCACTGTACTTCCCATCTCCAGGACTCAAGTCCGGCCTGCCGGTTTCCCTGAACCCCTTCATAAATGTTACTTTGCTCACACTCCAACAGCACGTCAAGTATTAAAAACCATTTGTCTCCATTCACTCCTATCAAACACGCTCACGCATGCCTGCTGGAAGTCCAAGCCCCTCGCACACAAAACCTCCTTTACCCCCTCCTTCCAACCTTTCCTAAGCCGACCCCTACCCCGCCTTCCCTCCACTACAGACTGATACACTCTTGAAGTCACTCTGTTTCGCTCCATTCTCTCTACATGTCCGAACCACCTCAACAACCCTTCCTCAGCCCTCTGGACAACAGTTTTGGTAATCCCGCACCTCCTCCTAACTTCCAAACTACGAATTCTCTGCATTATATTCACACCACACATTGCCCTCAGACATGACATCTCCACTGCCTCCAGCCTTCTCCTCGCTGCAACATTCATCACCCATGCTTCATACCCATATAAGAGCGTTGGTAAAACTATACTCTCATACTCTTCAGGTCACTTGTTCTATCTAGGCTGGAATATTGCTGCACACTAACAGCACCTTTCAAGGCAGGTGAAATTGCCGACCTAGAAAATGTACAGAGAACCTTCACGGTGCGCATAACGGAGATAAAACACCTCAATTACTGGGAGCGCTTGAGGTTCCTGAACCTGTATTCCTTGGAACGCAGGCGGGAGAGATACATGATTATATACACCTGGAAAATCCTAGAGGGACTAGTACCGAACTTGCACACGAAAATCACTCACTACGAAAGCAAAAGACTTGGCAGACGATGCAACATCCCCCCAATGAAAAGCAGGGGTGTCACTAGCACGTTAAGAGACCATACAATAAGTGTCAGGGGGCCGAGACTGTTCAACTGCCTCCCAGCATACATAAGGGGGATTACCAACAGACCCCTGGCAGTCTTCAAGCTGGCACTGGACAAGCACCTAAAGTCGGTTCCTGACCAGCCGGGCTGTGGCTCGTACGTTGGTTTGCGTGCAGCCAGCAGCAACAGCCTGGTTGATCAGGCTCTGATCCACCAGGAGGCCTGGTCACAGACCGGGCCGCGGGAGCGTTGACCCCTGGAACTCTCTCCAGGTAAACTCCAGGTACATTCCCCTCCTTGCCTCCAACCTAATGCAAATATTGCATAACTTATATCTCATAAATGTAACCCAGTTGTATAATTAGAAAAACCTTATCAAACTATGTTTTTATAGCATAACCTAATAGAATAATCCATTTTCTTGAATACACTGTAACTCATCTAATGACCATATGAACTGTTACTGCACTACAGATCATTGATTTGATTTGATTAGATCTGATTATTAAATTATATGACTACACATAGTAAATTGATCATTTTGTTATATTACTAATTGTAATGTTACAAAATTGTAAAACTATAATTCTTCAAAATTGAAATGTTCAAATTCATTGTTTAAAATAACTCAATTGTACTTGATATTGCAAATTGTCAATAGTAACTGTTACCATTAAATCTATTATAGCTTAGATAGTCTTAAGTTAATTTTAAGCCTGCCTGTAACCCACTTGTAACTGAATTCACAAACACTAGTCTCTGTAATTCTTGTAGGTTTTGTTACTGTTGCTACCAACAGTAACAAAACCTACAAGAATTACAGAGACTAGTGTTTCCCTATTAGACCACATCTGGCCCAACACCATTTTCCCTTTAAAATCAGGCATAATCACAGACCACTACACTACCTTTCTCATAACCAATCTAGGTAAATTACCCCAAGACACTACTAAAGTAACTTTCAGGCTTCATAATGAGGCAGCCATTAATAACTTCACAACAGCAATGACAAACATCGACTGGCAAACTGAGCTAGAAATCTATACAGATACTGGCGAATGTATTAATAATTTTCTAAAAAAGACCAAATACCTTTATAACAAGCACTGCCCTAAAAAATCTAAACAGATCACAGCTAAGAGACTGAACAGTCCCTGGCTAACACCCAGCATCCTCAAATCCATAAATATAAAGCACCAGTATGAAAAACAGTACAGAATGGGTCACATAACCAGAGACCAAACAAAATGGTACTCATCTATCCTAACCAGATTATCCAACTTAAAAGGTGATATAGAAAAGACCTGGAAAACCCTATCTGAAATTCTATGAATAAAAAAGATATCAGAAAACAGAACAATCACACTAACAAAACCAGATGAACCCCTATTCCCACCTACTGAAACAGCAGATTCAATGTTTTCTTCTCCACCATAGGAAAAAACCTTGCGGGTAAAATCCCAAGCTCAAATACCCCACCCAATGACTACCTCATTGGCACCTACCCGAACATGTTCCTAGCTCCAACCAACCCAACAAAGGTCTCACTATTATCAACACACTAAAGAATAAGACAGGAGATTTAATACCTTACCACCCTTTATATACAAAAAAGCTTCACAAGTGCTGTCACCAATCATTGCAACACTCTTTAACAAATCCATCAAATCCTCTACCTTCCCTACAGTTCTCAAAATAGCGAGGGTCACCCCGATACATAAAGGAGGAGATCAAGCAGACTTGAATAACTATAGGCCAATATCCAACTTACACCCTCTCTAAAAAACTAATTCATAAGTGAATCTATTCCTACCTCATCTCCCACAACATACTCAACCCCAGTCAGTTTGGGTTCAGGCCCAATAAAAATACGAATGATGCTATTATACACATGCTTACACAAATATACACTGTACTCGAGAAAAAAGGAGTCCCATTGGGGATCTTCATTGATTTACGTAAAGCTTTTGATACAGTTGACCATGATTTGCTGCACACAAAATTATCACACTATGGTATAAGAGGGCACTCCCTCAACTACCTAAAGTCATAAATTAGCAACAGAAGCCAATATGTGTACACAAATGGAGCAAACTCTTCCACACAGCCAATTACAGTTGGTGTCCCACAGGGAAGTGTCCTTGGCCCTCTTTTCTTTCTCATTTACATAAACGACCTACCAAATGCATCGCAACTACTCAAACCCACACTATTTGCAGATGACACTACATACGTCTTCTCTCACACAAGCCCAGTAATGCTAGCCAATACTGTAAATACCGAATTACAGAAAATATCTACCTGGATGATGATTAACAAACTTACTCTCAATATTGGCAAAACCTACTACATTCAGTTTGGGAACAGAACTACAGATGTTCTTCTTAACATAATGATAAACGGACCATCTATTACAAAGCTCACAGAGGGAAAATTCTTAGGAATCCACCTTGATAATAGACTCAAATTTCAAACATGTAAAACAAATTTACAAGAAAATCTCCAAGACTGTAGGTATACTATCGAAGATACGGTACTGTACACAAATAACCCACACATAAAAGAGAGAAGCTTACGACGACGTTTCAGTCTGACTTGGACCATTGACAAAGTCACACAGTGTGACTTTGTCAATGGTCCAAGTCGGACCGAAACGTCGTCATAAGCTTCTCTCTTTTATGTGCGGGTTATTTGTGTATCGTTCCAGTCACGGTATTGTGCCTTTTTTGTTATTTATACAGTACTAAGTTCCACAGTCAGCCCTCCTGGCTCTATATCACTCATTCATTGACCCCTATCTCACTTATGGAATTTGTGCATGGGGCTCAACAACAACAAATCATCTCAGACCATTAATTACCCACAAAAGGCTGCAGTCAGAATGATAACAAATTCCCACTACAGGCAGCATACTCCACCAATATTCAAAACTCTAAACTTACACACCGTATAAAACATCCATACTTATTATTGTGCCTACTACATACACAGAACACTAAACTTGGATATAAACCCTCCCCTCAAACTTTTCCTTACCAACCTCAACAGAACACATGACCATAACACAAAGCACAGATCACTCTTTGATGTTCCCTGTGTCCAACTCAATTCACATAAAAGGCCCAAAAATCTGGAATTCATTACCTGTGAATATAAAAGAAATACTGTCTGTTTATCAATTCAAGACTCTTCTTAAAAACCACTTACTCAACCACAACTAAATAAATACTGAATCTCAAATGTATAACCTGTGACCCTATCAAACTATGTGTTTTTAATTGCATTACCTAATAGAATACTCCATTCTCTTGAATGTACAGTAACTCATCTAATGACCATATGGCCTGTTTCTGTACTACAAATCATTGATTTTACTTGATCTGATTCGATTATATTATACATTGTTATGCTACAAACTTGTATAACTTTAATGCTTCTTATTTGAAATAATCATTTGTACTTCATGTTGTAATTTGTTTTCTGTAATTTTTACCACTGAATATATCATTGCCTAGTTAATCTTAAGTTAATTTTAAGCCTGCCCATAATGCTCTGTATACAAGGGGCTTTTTGCATGCACACCCAATCACTATATTTCTTTGTACAACTATGTATCATGTCCTAATAAATTATTATTATTATTATTATTATTATGATGCAGGAAGTGATTTCCGAGTCCTGATTTGGGAATAGTCCCTCTAGGATTATCAAAGTATTTTGTGATGTATCTTTCTCGCGTGCATTCCAAGGAATACAGGTCAAGGGACTTCAACTGTTCCCAGTAACTGAGGTACATTACTGTACTCATACATGGATGAATCTTATTATGCCAGTATGGTCCAGTAGATAGCATACTAGCCTGCCAAGTTTTAGGACTCAGTTGCCATGGGTTGAAGCCCCAACCAGTCTGTGACTTAACAATCAGTTCTATTGCAGGGGCGTCGTAATAGGGGGCGGGCCGCCCCGGGTGACACCACATAGCCTCTAAAGGTGACACTAATGCCCAAAACAGTGCTGAACCAACATAAGAGAATAAGCCTTCATTTCTATATAGCCTATTATATATTAACAAAATACGTACAAATAAGCCTATATAGGGAAAATAAATGATTTTGATGATGTGATAGGTGATTTTGCATAATTAAAGACAAGGAAATGTAAAATCAGATTTACTGAGATGTTACCTGTACTCAAGATCAAATCTGAACTAGTGTTTCTCTCATATTGCAATGTTTTCCTTTATTTTTTATTTTTTTTTCTGTTTTGTTTTGGCATTGTTGAAGATGAATAAATGTAGGATCTGTTGGCTGTACTCAAAGTGGTATTTGAGTTTGTTTCCTCAATAGTACTATGCTTATTTATTTTATCATCAATAAAGTTGAGAAGTATTCTCCTGTTTATTTTATGGCCCTTAAACGTTCTCATTGTTAAACATTTGTCACTGGTCATGCAGTAGTGACATAACTGGAGTTTACCCCCCCATCTCCCCGTCCCTGAATTTCATGGGGGTGACATCAAAGATGCTGCCCTGGGTGACACCAACTCTAGCGATGCCTCTGTATACTGTCAACTTTTAGAGGAACTGTTATATTTGTCTCGACGTACAGTGGACCCTCGGTTATTGGCCATTCCGCTTATCAGCCAACTCGGTTATCGGCCGTTATTTTGCTTAATGGCCGTACTGGTTTGCTGCACACAAAATTATCACACTATGGTATAAGAGGGCACTCCCTAAAGTCATAAATTAGCAACAGAAGCCAATATTTGTACACAAATGGAGCAAACTCTTTCACACAGCCAATTACAGTTGGTGTCCCAAAGGGAAGTGTCCTTGGCCCTCTTCTCTTTCTCGTTTACATAAATGACCTACCAAATGCATTGCAACTACTTAAACCCACACTATTTGCAGATGACACTACATTCGTCTTCTCTCACCCAAGCCCAGTAATGCTAGCCAATACTGTTAATACCGAATTACAGAAAATATCTAACTGGATGATGACTAACAAACTTACTCTCAACATTGACAAAACCTACTTCATTCACCTTGGAAACAGAGCTACAGATGTCCCTCTTAACATAATGATAAATGGATCACCTATCACAAAGCTCACAGAGGGAAAATTCTTAGGAATCCACCTTGATAGTAGACTCAAATTTCAAACACATGTACAACAAATTTCCAAGAAAATTTCCAAGACCGTACGCATACTCTCGAAGATATGGTACTATGTTCCACAGTCAGCCCTCCTGGCCCTATATCACTCATTTATTTACCCCCATCTTACCTATGGAATTTGTGTATGGGGCTCAACACCAATAAACCATCTCAGACCATTAATTGCCCAACAAAAGGCTGCAGTCAGAATAATAACAAATTCCCACTACAGGCAGCACACTCCACCAATTTTCAAAACTGAACCTACTCACCATACAAAACATCCATACTTATTATTGTACCTACTACATACATAGAACAGTTAACTCAGATATAAACCCTCCCCTCAAACGTCTCCTTACCAACCTCAACAGAACACATGACCATATTCAAGACACAGATCACTCTTTGATGTTCCTCGTGTCCATCTCACTCTGTGCAAAAACTCAATGCACATAAAATGCCCAAAAATCTGGAATTCATTACCTGTGAATATAAAAGAAACACTGTGTTTATAAATTCAAGTCTACTTAAAAATCACTTACTCACCCACAACTAAATAAATACTGAATAACTGTATCTCATAAATGTTTTACCTGTGACCCTATCAAACTTTGTTTTTTTAATTACATTACCTAACATTCTATTGAATGTACAGCAACTCAGCAAATGACCATATAACCTGTCTTTGAAATACTCATTTATGCTTAATTGATATTTGTTCACTATAATTTTTACCACTGAATATATCATTCCTCAGTTAATCCTAAATTAATTTTAAGCCTGCCCATAATGCTCTGCATACAAGGGGCTTTGGCATGTTACACTTAACCACTGCATTTCTTTGTACATCTATGTATCATGTCCAAATTAATAATAAATAAATAAATAAAAAAATAGAATAGAGATAATCAGCTCTAACATACATCATTTAAGTATGAATACTGGCCAGAGAGCCCATTGTAAGTCTAAGTCTGAGGTGTCGGTAAATGAGTACATCGCTAAGTGAGGAGAGGCTGTAATTAGTACCACTCATTCTGCTAGACGTGACAAATATATTTTCTTATGATTTTTATTATGAATTAACAAAGTAAATTTTAAGTATACTGTATAGCATTGTACACAAGCTATGGGTTTCCCAAGATGCTGTGCTTATTGTATTGTAGTAACATTGTTCTTCAGTTATTTGTAATTTTTGGACAAATTAATAAAGGGACCAAGTCCCTTTATTAAATGCTGTATGCAAAAAAAAAATAAGGTTGGTTGGCAATAGATAATCAAGGAGAAAATTGTGGAGTGGGCATTAAAACAAAATTAGGACATCAGTGTAGTAGGTCAGTAGTGGTTAAATCAAAGATTCTACATTAACCCTTTCAGGGTTGGTGCCGTACTAGTATGGCTTGCACGCCAGGGTTGGTGCCATACTAGTATGGCTTGCACGCCAGGGTTGGTGCCATACTAGTATGGCTTGCACGCCAGGGTTGGTGCCATACTAGAATGCATAAATTCTAGCGCTTTCAAATCTAGCGAGAGAAAGCAGGTAGGCCTACATAAGAAAGAATGGGTCTGTGGTCAGTGTGCACAGTATAAAAAAAAATTCTGCAGCACACAGTGCATAATGAGAAAAAAAAAACTCCAACCGTGTCTTTGCTTTAAAACAGTGACTTTGCAGTTTATTTTTGTATGCTATTTATGGTTGTATTCTAGTTTTCCTGGTCTCATTTTATGGAATGGAAGACATATTACAGAAATTGAGATGATTTTGATTGGTTTCACAATGAAAAGTACCTTGAAATTGAGCTCAAAGTACCAGAAATGTTCCATTTTTGCCAAAGTTCAAAAGTAAACAAATCATGCCACACGTCCAATACACGTCAACTGGTGAGTCTAATATTCTTTCACAAGTGCACTGATATTATTTATACCATTTCTACACTAATGCAGTAGTCTGCATAACAGTAAACCTTCTATATTTTGTGAGAATAAAAATTCAAAGTGGAAAGCAAAAGAAATGTAAGAGAGGCCTGGGGACGTGACTAATGAACAGAAAAAATGTTATTTTAGTGCCAGGAATGTCTGTCTTGTTTATTCTGGACCCTATTTGGAAATTGGCTTCTTTTGAAATTTGTGTGAAATTGGCAAAATTGCCAATTTCTGACCACTTTATTGGATAGTTGCACTCATTCGATAGAAAAAACGGAGTTCTAATGAAATAATTATGATTTTTGTCGACTGGTATATTGGAATTGGCCGAAAATAGGGGCTCAAAGTGGGCAAAATCGCCGAAGCATAAACATCGTCGAGACTGCTAACTTCACGAGAGCATAATTCTGTAAGTTTTCCATCAAATTTCATATTTTTGGTGTCATTATGATGGGGAACAGATTCTCTATCATTTCATAAAAACTATTTTTTTTTTTTCGAAAAATTTCCTACCCTGAGAACAAGTTTAGGAGAGGGCCTGTTGACCCCAAAAGGGTTAAATATGGGACTTTCAGAGGAGAAGAGAGGATAAGCTTGTCAAATTGCTAAAGGTATAAATGAAGGTGGCATGTTGCTTGAGAATGGTCACAACTTAGACATAATTGTGCAACACATTTAGATTAATATCGGCATTTGTATCTGACCAACATTCATAATAACCTCTGCAAATGTTATAGTAAATTGTCTTACTATTTACTTACTAATTGTTCTTGCAAAAATTTCAGTAGTTATTATATTATTATAATCAAAGAAAGTGCTAAACCGAAGTAGTTATTATAAGTTCTTTTAAGGCAGCCCAAAATGCTCTGTATTACCAGGGGCTTTCTATAAAATATGTCAATAATATCACCTATTCTGAACCAAATGTATACCATATCCTATATGTAGATATAAATTTTACTATTTATCCTATCCAGAATTGCTCATTATTCTTAGCCCACTGAGTAAATTTATTTCTTATTTAACAGACTGTTTAATATGAAATGGACAATTACAAATTTAATGGACAAAATCTCTCAACTCCAGAATTATTTAGTATTATTGTAGTCTGCTTGGCATTATTATTATTTTTTTTTTTTTGGTGGGGGGGGGGGATTCAACCAACTGACTTAAATCCAAAAATTGTCATCATCATGTAAAAGCACTCATAATTCAAATTTTAACACACAACTGGCTTTACCAGACATCCACCCTCCCCCAGTTAGTAGGTTAAATCAAAGGTTGACTGTAAGTAGTGCAGATGAAACCATATGAAGTGCTCTCAGTCATCTCTTCCTCCCCTCCCACAACCTTGTCTTATAAATGAAAAAAATTCACATGTGCAACACAGACATCTTTATTGTGGAGACATTTTGCCAACCAGTGGCTTTATCAGTCTAATATAAAGATTAATATAGGAGACGGTGGAAAACTTGAAAAATTTCATGTGATCAGTCCCTCAGCCTCGCTAGATGGTGTTCCTCTATTGTGGAGTGAACACTTCTCAGCAAGGCTGAGGGACTAATCACTTGAAACTGCTTCATATCTTCCTCCATTTCCAGCATTATTCTCTATACTGGAGTGATAAAGCCACCAGTTGGTGAAACATCTCTACAACAGTGCCTGTGTGTTGCATATGTCTTTTTTAACCTCATCAATTTTCTAACCAATTAATATAAAGTCATCCCACCTTGTAGAAAATATGTTGGATATTCACTATTCTCCCATTCCCCTTTGAGTGAGATGAACTGATCACAGTGAAGGGCTCCTGATCTAAATAATTGAAGGTACCCTCCTTTTCCTCCAAGGTGCAACATGACTCCTACAGGTTTAGCATTCCCACATGAAATAAATTCTCCCATTCAAATAACACTTTCCATGTCTAGGGTTAAATTTTGACCTGAAACCTTAAGCTGTATCAAGTTTAAGAGGCACTGAAAATTCCAAGTCAAAATAGGCAATATTAAAACACAGGCATACCTTGCTAATACGACACTTTGCTTTAAAACATTTCACAAATACAGTGCTTTTCATTTATATTCATGTTTATTATTTTTGTCAGTAAAAATATTTTAAGGTTAGCAATACACTAGTGTAGCATTTTTTAGGCCTAGCACTATTGCACACTTAATAAATGATAGTGTAAATATGTTTTTAAGCTTTTATATGCACTGGCAAGTGAAAAAAAGGCTGTGATTCACTTTACGGCAGTGGTCTGGAACTTAACCTACTGCATTATTATTATAATCAAAAAGAAGCGCTAAGCCACAAGGGCTATACAGCACCTACCGCATTAGCAAGGTATGTCTGTATTGAGGAGGGGGTTAAATTACAAATTCCTGAGGCCATGAGAAATAGTTCAAATTATGAGCAAGTTTAGCCATATCTGTCTTATTGTAGTTGACATTAGCACAGCTTTCTGTCAGTCTCTAGCTACCCAGGCACTCACAGTATTGACACTTTCTGCAAGCCCTTTTCATGACAAAGGGGCTCTTATCAAAGGAATTGACCTTCTTGGCCCCTTCTTCAA